AGACTATGGCCTGTATCAGAGGCACCTTAGTCTCCAGAGTGACACCATTGTTCTTCAGTACTTTGGAGAGGTCCCTAACAGCAGATTTTCCATCCATCCTGTTGAGTCTTTCTCTCCTACTCTGACTTTCCATCTTTTCTAGCATTATGTCCCTTCCCAAGGAATAGCCTCGCCTAGCTACGTGCCCAGAGTATGAAAGATGAAGCTTTATCATCCTTGTCTCCAAGGAGCACTCTGTGTACATTCTTTATAGGACATATATGTATGTTCTTTTGGCAATACATGGGATATTCAGTAACTCTTCTCCAGCACAACTCAAAGGCATCAATTTTTCTATGATCTTTATTCATTATCCAGCTCTCTGATACATAGCAGGTTATTGAGAAGATCATGGCCTGAATCAGATTCACCTGAGTCTTCAAATTTACATCATTGCTCTTCAGTATTTTGGAGAGGAGACTTGCTCAATGAAATAAATTTTCTGATTTCCTGATTGCTGGTACCAAAGGTATCTATTGTTTATGCAAGCAAGATAAAATAATTGACAGGTTCTACCTTTTTTCCATCTATCCTAACGTGGACTGTAGGGCCTGTGATAAGGATCTTTGTCTTCTTTATGTTGAAATGTGATCCATAACAAAGCTAATGAGCTCCATTTAGACAAGGAAGATTAACAGCTATGTTTCCAGCACCTAGTACTAAGCCTGTAACATAGTATGTCCTTGGCAAATATTTTCTTTTAAATATGGAACACTTTACAAGTTTACATATCACCTTGCCCAGGAATCATGCAAATATTTTCTGTATCACTCCAATTTTAGAGTATGTGCTGCCAAAGTAAGCACTTGACAAGTATTTTAATGAATCCTGAAGATCTCCTTGAAAAGTAGTTCACCATACAGTCCTTTTATCTGTCATGACAAGTAAGGAATTATTTTATTTCAACTGAAAATTTAAAAGCCAAACTCATTCTCGATCTGCCAAAGTGAGTTCAGGACATTTTCTTTGAGGATGGGACCACCGATGGAAGTTCCTCATTTTTTTTAATATATCACCTATAATTTCCAATCTGTTTCCTTAAAATGGAATGATTAATTACATATTAGCAGCAAGCTGAATAAAGAGTTCATCTAGCTATTTTTTTTTTTATTTTCCCCACTCTGTAATTATCTTTTTGCTCACATCTAATTCAATGGCAGGTTTTTTTAAGTGACTCACCTTAATCAAGTCCTAAAATTCAACTTAGTTTTCTTAGAAGCAGTGCAAGCAGTGCTTGTTTTCACACTCTTAGTTAGTCGGTTGTGGAATTTATCTTTCAATATGACTTTTCTAGACATTGTCTGACTTTGCCATGTAGATGGATGGGAATATGCGAATGGAGCATGTCAGCGTATCCACAACAGGATTGGCTATTTACCAAGCCACAAGGGTTTGCTCATAAAATTGAGCAATCCAGCAGGAGAATTAGACCTTCCCCACCCTGGTGAAAAAGAAGAAGCAAGAGAATGTAAGACCTCATTTGAGACCTGATACCTATTGCAGTGGTGGCAGCAGCAGCCATGGCCAAACTAGGGACTTGATGTGAGATGGGGCTTGGGATTGTTACACCGTTGGAACTGGAGCAAAGAGCCTTTGCCCAAGTTTGTTGGGCAACTGAGGGTGGGGAGCCATAATTTACAGGAGTATTTTGTTGTTGTTGTTGTTGTTGCATACCATCGAGTAGGAACTGACACATAGCTGACCCTCCAGAGGGTTTTCAGAGGCAGTTAATTGCATAGGCGGGCAACACTGGCTAAAACTGAGGAGGTGAAGCCAATATTGGCATGACTTTGTAATATTAGTCTAAAGCCATGAGGCTCAAAGTTGAGGTGCCTGCATGCAGCAGTTGTCCTGACTGTATTCTGCTACTAATCTGGATTATAACCTTTTAGGAGCTATCATACCAAATTTGGACTCAGCAAAGCAGTAAGACTGGTGCTGAGATGAGATAGAAAGAGGTATGGGAGCATTGGGGGGAAGAATTTCTGACCTCATCGGAATTGGTTTTGTGTTATTAATGCTGTTGACAGGAACAATTCCCCTTTGTGAAGTCAGTACAGATTAGAGATGGCCATCCCCAAGTGGTCCTTGCTCTTTTATATCAGTTAATATATAATTTAGTTACAATATATTGTAACACTGAAGTGGCATTTGGTATCAGACACAACTGACTCTTGATAAGCAATAGTTTAACAGGAGATTGGAACTGAGCAGCATTCTAGAAGACACTCATCTGTGCTCGTCTATACTAGTGCCTGCCTACAGGATGCCTAGGTCTGAATCTTAGCCTTTTCACTTACTGGTTGTGTGAACTGGAGGACAAACCACTTAACCTCTGTGACTTCTTCATCTGTAAAGGAAGTTAACAAGAATACCTACCTCATAGTGTAGAGGGTCAATGCCAGAAAGGAAGACCCTGGATGAGATGGACAGACACAGTGACAACTGTGGCAAAGGAGTCAAGTGTGTCAGAGACGGTGAGATTGGCTCAGGATCAGACAAGGTTCAGAGCTATTATCCATAGGGTTGCTGTGAGTCATAGTCGACTTGATGGCACATAACAAGAAGAAACTCATAGTGAAGTTGTAGAGCTTAAAGGAGAAAATATCTGCAAACACTTAAAAAAGGGTGTGGCATGTGGTAACAGAAACCCACTATCATCAAATCAGTCCCAGCTTGGAGCAGAACTAGCCAACAGAGATTCCAAAGAAGATTTTACAGAATAACACTACTTCCTCTTTCTCCCACAAAACAGCTATTAGATTCAAATCATTGACCTCCTGGTTAGCAGCCCAACACTTACTCCACTGGGACACCAGGGCTGTAGTGCTCAATAAATGTTTTATAATCCCATGCTTGCTGATTCTGGCAGCAGTTGTTCTACAGGCTACAGTCCTGGCACCACCAGTATCCCTTATGTTTCATGAAGGAAGTGGACTGTGAAAGTTAGTTAAGCTCCATCTCCTACGGTATTATTATACTATTTCATGCATGAGAAAACAGGTCTACAAAGTCAATGATTCCAAAGCTACTTGACCAAAAAGCCATACTTTTTCACATCTGACAAGGACTTAGCAATTGTAAGGGTTGGATTCAGAATGAAAGGGTGAATTCAGCATCCAATTTTATTTTTCCTAATGAGCCCAAAATTCTATGAGGAGCAAACAGGACCTGTCAGTGCTGAGATTGCAAAGCCATTTCCAGCCTGCTCAGGAATTCACTCACTGCTTTGCCCCTTGAAGTGTGTGTGTGTTGGGGATTGTTGCAGAGGCCAGAGCTGTGGCAAATGAAGTCACATGATGGTACAGAAGCCAGACTCAGTGGGTTTCCTCTGGGAATTCCTGCTGGGAACTTCCCTGGACCATGTGGATGACCTGCAGGAGACAGCCAGTAGGGGTGGATGAGACAGACTTCTCAGCTCCTGCTTGCTGGTACAGACCCTTACCTCTGCTGAGGAGCTCCAGGGCAAGAGGGCCTAGACTGATGCTTCACATCCTCCCAGGCTACAGGGCCTTCCCTTTCTTTGACACCCACAGTCAGGCCATGGAGGAGGCAGGGGAGATCCTGGGCCTCCAAAGTTTGATGAAGGTTGTTCATATTGCTAAAAAAACACACCCCAAGACCAAACCCAAAAAACAGACAAACATGCTCAGAGTCCTGCATATCCCCAAGCATTAGATCACATCTTTCCCTAATCTTGGTGATGTTACATCAAAACCGTCTAAGCCACATCCTTTTCTACTTCCTTCATCCATTTTTCAGGTCTCCTCTTTCCACTCACCTATTGGCTTGAGGGCCATTGGATACTGGGATGTCAAGACACTCCGTTCTGGGGCGGCCTGAGGCTCCAAGTAAGAGATGCGTCCTAGGTCCTGGAGCTGCAGAGGGATAGAGATATTGATAGATGCATTTAGCACAGGCCTCTCCACATCAAGAATCTTCATGGTGGAGGGGACAGGAGGTGGTGTGATCACTGCACAGGAGGTTATGCCAAAGATTACGTCCTGCAGATGGTAGGTGCTCTGAAAACCAGCTGACTAGAGGTGGATGGTGGGAATGATTCACTGAAGAAATAGAGTTCAAGTCAGTTTCATAAATAGCAAGAAAGTTAATTCCTGGAGTTTGAAGCCTTACAGAGAAACACTAATACAGCTGGCTGTTGCTATATACCATTGAATTGGAATCAACCCATAGCTGAGCCTCAGCGGGTTTTCAGAGGCAATTAATCACTTGGGATTCTCCAGAGGGTTTTCAGAGGCAATTAATTGCATGGGATGAGACTGCCTATCCTTCTCCTTCGGAGCAGCTGGTGTATTCCAGCAGCTGGTGTATTTGGACTGTGGGGCTTCGAGATTGCAGCGCAACTTCCTGCTACTTGGCCATCAGAGAGCCCTAATAAATAGTAAGTTGTTGTTGTTATTGTTGCTGTTATGTGCCATCGAGTCACCTGTGACCGTATGCACAACAGCCCTAAACCCTGCTCTATCCTGTGCTAATCTCACTGTCTCTGACACACCTACCCCATTACTCCAGTCACTGAATCAATCCATATCATCGAGGGTCTTCCTCTTCTTGCACTGTTCCTCCACCCTCCCAAGCATAATGTCCCTCTCCAAGGACTGGTCCCTCCTGGCAACATGTCCAAAGTATGTCAGACAAAGCTTCAGAAATCCTTGCCTCCAAAGAGCAGCCTGATTTAACCCTCTCCAAGATGAACCTTTTGTTTTCTTAGCAGTTCATGGTATAATCAACACTCTTCTAGAACACCACAGCTCAAAGGCATCAATTCTCCTTCTATCATCCCTAGTCATTGTCCACCTCTCTGATACATTGCAAGCGACTGTAAAGACCATGACATGTATCAGGCACACCTTAGTCTCCAGAGAGACATCATTGCTCTTCAGTACTTTGGAGAGGTCTCAACAGCAGACTTTTCCATCGCAATACCTGGCTGCTGGTGCCAGGAGTGTTGATTGTAGAGCCAAGCAAACAAAAACTGTTAACAATCTCAATCTCTTCACCATCTATCATGATGCTGCCAATTAGCCCAGTGGTAAGAATCTTTGTTTCCTTGATATTGAGCCTCAACCCATATTGAAGCCTACAGTCCTTGACCTTCTGCAAATAGTAAGTTAGGGTAAGAATTAAACAGTGAGTGTTAAGAATCTGAGCTGCAATTCCAAAGGCACATGGTTCGAATCCACCAGCTGCTCCACGAGATAAAGATGGGCAATCTCCTGTGTGTTTACTACCTCTGAAAACCTGCTGGAAGGTGAGGTATGTATGGGTCGGTTCCAACTTGATAGAATACAACAATAGGCTAATAAAAGTGCTCAGCGCAGCACCAGCTACAAGAGATTTTTAGCACATCTTGATGCTCTGAGATGCAAAATTCTAGAGTTAGGAAGTCATGGAAGCAAAGGAGGCAGTTCTGGGAAGGGATGGGGGGCCTTGCAGAGAATGAAATAGGGGGAGATTAGTCCAGGGCGTGGGGACCTGGAAAGCAAAGGGGGACTGAGGAGGAGCAATTCAAGAAGAGTTCCAAGTCTTAACTCAGACCTGAGGAAAGGGACGAGAAGGTGAGGAGGTGGGAAAGAACGCTCCTGTTTGCAGAGAGGAGGAGCACACTTGAGTGCAAGCTACCGAACTCACGCTGCGGTCTCCACGCTCGAGACCTCGCGGGAAGGTCCGCTGGTCCCTCCTCTCTCTCCTCGTGGTCTTCCTCAGTTTCTTCGCCTTCCCACCCACCAGCAGATCTGCAAAGTGAAGGGAGCAAGACGCAGCAGGACAAGGGAGGCACTTCAGCAGGTTCTCATACGCAGCCCCCAGAATAGGATACCTTGAGGCCACGCCCGTCACAGAAGCCCCGTCCTCGTTCCACTCACCTGCGCGGGCCATCCACTCTGCCCCACGCCACATTGGCTGCGGTCCCCGCGGGGCAGGCCCCACCAGCAACGGCCTGGAAAAGGACAGGAGAGGGAGTCGGTTAGAGACAATCTGACACAGTGGTCTTACAGAGACAGAGAAGTGATTGAGACAGACAAGGCTGTGTGGCTTGCCACTTTAAAATTATGACTGGAAATCCTCAGTTTCTGTAAACTTTAATTAAAATTAGTAATAATAATTAAAAAAATTTCTCAAGCTTCATTTGAAAAAAATTCAAGCCTTGAGCTAGAGACTGAAGGTTTCTATAGGCAAAATAGTGAATAACATAGGAAGCATCAAATGATATAAGGAATACAAAGTCACTGTAACAAAAAGACATGGTCAACACTGAACACTTTCAAGAAGTAGCATATGATCAAGAAGCAATGATGTTGAAGGAAGAAATTCAAGATGCATTGAAGTTATTGGCAAAAATCAAGGCTCCAGGAATTGTCAGAATAACAATTGAGATGTTTCAACAGATGAAGCACTGAGTGTGCTCACTCATTTATTCCAAGACAATTAGAACACAACCACCTAACCAACTGATTGGAAGACATACATATCAGTGCCCATTCCAAAGAAAAGTGACCCAACAGAGTGTGGAAATTATAAAATAAATATTAGCATTGCACACACAAGTAAAATCTTACTGA